GAAAATCTAAAGTCTAGGCTTATCAGTATTTTAGGAATAGATAAAAGAAAATAAGCTCATGAAAGAGGTTAAGAACATAGCCTCTGGAATCTGACTGCCTAGATTCAAATTATGTCTCTAAATACATGAATATAGCTATTTACTAGCTATATAACGTTAGGTATGCTGCTTACCCTCCCTGTGCCTCAGTTTCCTATCTGTAAGGTAGGAATTAATACCATTTATCACACAATGTTATGAGGATTAAATAAACTAATGCATAAGAAGCACATTACAGTGTTTAGCGTATAGTTAGTGCTCAGTAATCAGTAAGGTTAGATATTTTTTATTTTTAATAGAATGTTACGTACCCCAGAATTGGTGACTATAGCCCACAATGAGAAAAATAGGACAAAGGCTTAAATTCCCCCTTTCCTGAAATTGCGGTTAGACACCTCCTTGCAGGCCCAAAGAACTAGCACAGGTACTTCCTCGTAACTCTACCACCATCACTACCATTACCAGGCAATGTAAGTCTAGGGTTAGAGAGAGCAGGAGTACAATGTTTATGGAAAAAAGTGAGGCAAGTGAGGGAGTACAACTCCAAGGGCATCAGTCATAGACACCAAGGGTGCTTGCAAGAAGCAAAGACTGGTATTCTTGTTTCCCAGTTGTTTGCTTGCTAAACTCCAGAACCTGTAGTAAGCCCATCTGAGTGAGTGGTGCAGGATGAGAGAGTTATTGAAAAGCCCACCTTGTATCTCCTAGAGTTTGTCGGCATTCTCAAACATTGAGACTGTTTCCTGTTTCTAATGTAGAAAGAGGGAGGCCTGCTGGAATAGATTGTGTAAATACAGCTGGAATAATAATGATAGCGATAGCTAACATTTCCAAAGAAGAGATTAAATATGAATTACTGATCAGCCCCCAAAACACTAGATTATGCCTCTTTGAGTGCTTTTTCAATGACAGATGGACCAGTATGAAGCAGGGTACTACCCAGGAAAACCACACTTAACCACGTACATGGAAACCACCACAGCTTCATAGACTACAAGCAGCAGGCTTAAATACACCAGGTCAGAGGAAGGCTAGGGACATCTCCATATCTGTGCTCAACAAGCAATTTTGTAAGCTGATCTCTGCCACTTCTCTTCTTTTTCTCTGCTTTTCCAATAACAGGAACTGGGACTTGAGGAGTACTTGAGGGAAAAGGTATTTTAGAACTTCTATCCTCACCCTCCCTGCCCCTCTAAGTCTTTCAAGCCATGAGCCTTAGTCTGTGCTGAAGGAGAGGGAAAGTTTTGTATTGAATAGTATAAAAAAGTTAACTATTATACTATCGAAAAGTATAATAAAGTTATAAACTTGACTGTTTTAAGTTTTCATAACTGAAACCGGTGTGTCTCTTAGGTCTCTTTCTCTTCAAGCTAAGTATTCCCCACTTTTCATGTCCCAAGCATTTAACTCCCTTCACAATCCTGGCCACTTTCTTTTGAAAATGCCTTAGTTTGCATAAGTCCCCAAACCAAACATACCTTTGGCAGTCTGGTCAGAATAGAACAGGACAGTGTCTTTGTCAGCCTAGGAGTTAAACTGTTACTTCAGGACAAAATTACATTTGCTTTTTGGCAGTTCTATCACATCATTATCATTTTTACTGGCCCAGGGTTATGGGGGTTCTCTAAATAGATTAATTAAATGCTTATTGTGCAACCTCAAAATTTGTTTCACAAAATTGGTAATTTTCAGCTTGATGACTTTAGTGTTTTTGCTAATCCCTAAGTAGGTGATCTTCTTCCTATTAGTTTGTCCTCCCTCATAGGCCTCGTTGAGAAAACAGAAGTGTTAACTGTTATAGAATGTGTGTGTATGTATGTGTGCATAAGAAGATGTGTTTTCAGCCATACCACAGTAGATGTGGCTGACTTACAAGATAAGTTTTTGTTTGTTCTTCCCTTAATTAATTCTACAAATATTTAGTATATGTATACTATGTGTCCAGCACTAGGGATGTAATAATAAGATACATTTTCTGCCACAAGAATCTTTTAGCTTTGTGGAGAAATTTCAGTGATGTGTATTAAATGTTACTATAGGGCTAAGCGGGTACTCCAGAGCTCGCTGATTATCTCACCCAACCTTGAGGAAAGCTTCTCAAAGATGGTGCTAACTAATCTGGTTCTGGAAAGATTCAAGTGGATTCATTAGCCAAAGTGGTGAAGGGATTTATGCAAGGGTCCTAAGGCAGGAAGCTGTATGGCTGGTGCAGGTAAATAAATTGCTGTGCCTGGACTGTGTATCCTATGGAAGGGAAGTGTTGCGAAAGAAGGCAGCACAAGATCTGTAGAGGCTTATATGCCTTACTTTTTGGGTGCTTTTCTCCTGAGAGCAATGAAAAGCCATTTATAAGTTTTAAAACGGGGGAATGACAAGTATAGATTTCCTCTTTAGAAAAAACAATTTTTGAGTAGTGTGGGACACAAACTGGAGGGGAACAAGACTGGAAATACAGGAGCCAATTGGGAGGCTGATGGTGAGAAAGTAAGGGTGAATTGAACTAAGTTATTGATAGTAAAGAAGGAAAGAAGTTGACGGATTGTAAAGATTTTAGGAGGTTGAAGCCGCAGGACTTGGTGATTAGTTGTGTAAAGGCAAGGGAAGAGCTGAAGTTGAAAAGAATAATAGCTAACACTAACTGTTGATCCCTAAACAATGTGCAAGACACCTATCTAAGTACTTTGTCTTTGCCACAGTCTTATAAGGTAGGTATAATTTTATCAATCCTATATTACAGCTGAAGAAACTCAAGCCCAGAGCAAATGGTTGAGTAACTTGTCCAATTAGCATTTTACCACTAGAAGATTAGCAGCAAGGAAGGGGGAAAAAATATGGTTTCCCTTTTGGACACATTAATCGTGAAATTCTGTTGGCACATCTCAGTGAAGATAAGATGACATAAAATATGTATATAAAGTACTAGGTACCATGCCTGGTTAATAGTAAGGATTCAAATAAATAGCAATTATGTTGATGTCTGGATCTTAGTACAGAGAAAGCAGGCCAGAGATAAAGATTTGGGCATCATACAGTAGAGACAGTAATGAAGCTTTGAGTGTGGATAAGATCATGAGGGATATGACTGGGGGAGTATGAAAAAAAGTCAGAACTGGCTGGGTGTGGTGCCTTACACCTGTAATCCCAGCACTTTGGGAGACCAAGGCACGGAGATCACTTGAGGCCAGGAGTTTGAGACCAGCCTGGTTCACATAGTGAGACCCCATCTCTATAAAAAAAGAAAAAAATTAGCTGGGCATGGTGGCATGCACCTGTAGTCCCAGCTACTCAGGAAGCTGAAGCGGGAGGATCATTTGAGCCCAGGAATTTGAGGCTGCACTGAACTATGATCCTGCCACTGTACTCCAGCCTAGCAGGCTGGGAGACAGAGCAAGACCCTGACTCTAAAACAAACAAACAAACAAAAAAACACAACAATAACAACAGAAAAACAAAACAAACACACAGAAAAAGCACTGAAAGGAAATAGAACAAAATTTTAGCAATGATTCTGTGAGGATGGTGATTGAATGTTTTAAAATTTTAATTTTCCATTTTGTAAAAATATCAGCCTTAGAAATTAAAAATTTTAGTATCAGGTTTGTTTCTTACATTATTGATTTATGATGACCTCGAACTGATTTGATAGTAATTATTTAAGGTAAAATCAATTCTTTTTTAAACATGACTGTATTTTGTTCTAAAGTTGAATGGAAGCAAATTCTTAGTTATCTAAGCATTTTTTTCCAGTGTTATAGCTGTATTAATCAATATAGCCAAAAAAGATATGATTTCTTCCTAAGGGAAATTAGGGACATTCTTAAGCAAAAACCCACAAACTTGAAATTCTTGCATGTCATGATCACTGTCTTTTAAAAGGAAACTCTGCTGTGGTTGCTGCCTGTTTTGCATTGCTTTCCAATACCTTCAAATAGCTATTTTTTAAACTGTGTCTTCTCCGGGTTTTATAATTATAGCTGCAGGAGATTTTGCACAATGATTTCCTGCCGACATTACCACAGTTCAAACTTCCTCAGGAATGTTTTCAATAGTGTGATTTTTACAAATATTAATGATGCCTATTATAAGAATTCAATTAATATTTGTTGAATAAATCAATAATGGCTACTCCCTTTTTAGACAATGCAATAAATGTACCTATGTTTCTTGTCTTTGTTGTGTTCAGACTGTTGAAGGAAAGAAAGCTGATATAAAAATGTAGGCATGTAGTTTATCAGCAATATTGAAAGAACAAAGATAATCTGAAGCTATTTTTCTTATATAATGAAATCTCAAAAATATAACACATTTTTACCTAAGAAATCTCCTGATTCGTCATTTAACCATTAAAATTCAGAAAGAAGAGGGGTAAGGGAGTAATAAAATCAAAAGGACTATTTACTGAGAAAACATTTAGTACAAATTTAGGAACCCTATCAAATTAAAATCTTCAATATTTAATTACTGTTGAATTTTAAACCCAAAACCAGATTGTGAGAGTAATACTATTTTTGCAAATTTTATAAGCATTAATTATCAGGCTACATACATGAAGTGCTTAATTATTGTGACATGAAAGAAATGAGGTGTGAGCTTACAGACTGCTTTGTGGATAATAATGGCTACGTTCGAGGTACTGAGAGAAAATGCCCTATATCTTAGTAAAGAAAAAAAAAGCCTCTGATTTCTTTGATATTATAATCACTTGTAATCCTCTTAATTTTGTGGATATCAGAGTGGTGCAGTAGTTGGAGAATGATCTTTAGAATCAGAAAGTCTTTATTAAAAGTACCTTGTTCTCATTGACTATCTTTACAAGTCTCTTAGCCTATCTAACTGTGCCTTAGAAAGATGAAATTATTGTCTCACCTCACATACTTGTTTTAAGGAAAATAATTGTAAAAACATGTGAATGTGCTTGCTATATGAGAGGATTCTGACTGTAATTTTTTTCTTTTTTACAGAAGAGGATAAATATAATATTTATTCACCTTTGCTCTTCAAGTATTTCCTGGCAGAGGGAATCATTAGTGGGCATACACTGTTGATTGCATCTGCAAAAGAAGACCCTGCTGACATTTTACAGGTATAGAATATACTAATTCAATATTGTATTTCAAACATTTCATAAAACAATATTGCTTATACATGTAAACAAGGTATATATTTGTATGTATACAAACTATATTTAACTGTATTAATAGGACCTTTTTTTAATCTCAAAAAATATCAAATTTATTTGAACTTCAAGTTTCATTTTAAATTAGTGTTGGATAATTTTTTAAACTTAAAATTTATATCAGAGGTAGAAAAATATTAATAAGTTATTAAACATGGACACTAAATAAAATTATTGGACCTGGTATTCATAAAAGTCATGTCTAATAGCAAAAAATTCTTGTTTATACTACTTACTGAAGAAAGGTGAGAAATGTCCTTTAATTCTTTACTTCTAATTATAACATTCATATTTTGACATAATTAATCTATTTTGAATCCCAACTACTACTATGCTTAAGCAGATTTTACAAACTGTAAGTCTTTCTACACTGTTCACAAAATCTGATGTAACTGTTACCTTTAAATTCCTTAAAAGAAACTTCAAATTTTAATTTTTACCTTAAGACTAATTTAGATAAAAGTTTAAGAAATCACTACAATATGAGTTAAAACAAATAATGGAATAAAAAACAAAAGTACCATCTATATAATCAGCGAATTATCTGATAAGACATTTTTAATATGTTATTTTTACATTTCTACTTAGTACAAGCAAGAATAAACTGGTTCCAAGGCACTGCAGTATTTGGCAATTTTACTGCAAGCTTTAAATCATAGTTTTATTTTAAACATTTATAAATAAATTGAAATATTCATACATATAAAAATTATTATATCTGCTAGGTAATTTCTACATAGTCATAAGAGAACTCTGAAAAAAATTAGGTGAAGAAAAATAACTGCAAAATAATTGATAATTATATTACCAGTATGCCAAAGGTATAAATCAGAAGAAAAATTCAGAAATTAGAAGTACTCATTGATTAATATTATTTCATTTTGAGAGTGCCACAAATGATTCTCTTCCATGATAAAATATTTTATTAATGTGCTATTTTTTTTTAAGCCAAAGCATACTTTTTACCTCAAAAAGGACAATTCTGACTTTTAGAATTTTTAATTCCTTTGTCCAGAACCAGGCCCCAATTTAAGCCATTATTTGAGTAGAGTTCATAATCTAAAGTCATTTTTCCACTGGATATTTTCATTTCAGTACATAGTCTGCAAAATGGCACATGAATAAATCATTGATAAGGAATTTGTAGTATAACAAATACTAATTTATAATAACTGTCAATAGATACCAACAAATGTCTATACCCAAGTATAAAAGTTACTATAATAGGTCAAAACCAACATGATTCTTTTATAGGGGTCAGACTTTGCTTATTAAATAATATTGTTATAAAATCCAAAGGACAAACCTATGTATAATTGATTTTCCTCTGGTTGCAAGGCCTATTTTTTTCAATCTTTTTTGAGTTGTTTAGTTTCTGCAGTGTTTTCTTGATGTTTTTATTTTTTTCTTTTGCTCTTTTCCCTGGCTTTAATCATCTTGACCAATTTCTGAACAATATTGCACTTGCTAGGAACAATGGAGTAAAGGCCAAAATCATTATTGTGAAGAAACTATACAGATTCTTCATGGCATATTCACAATATACTGAGCCTAAGATTTTACATCAAATGCCTTTCTAATCCACCATAGGAAAATTTTCCAGGGCAGAAGCAGGAAGGCTTATATATGCCTTTTAAAGTACAGTGTTTTATTTTTCTTTTTTGCCCCCTCCAACCTAGCTAGCTGATGTTAAATTCTAATATGTATGTGTTTGTACAGCTTGCTTTAGAGAACATTTTTTATTTCAAAACTAATGTCTGACATCTCTCCAGGTATCTTGAATTTGTACAAGTTATTACAGTATTAAAAATCTCAGTGTACTTACATGTCCTTCTTTATGTGAAAGTGTTTCAAGTTATAAATGAAACATTACCTTTTTCATCAAGTTTTTGTAAACTATCCAGTCATATATGCAAGTAATTACATTCTGCAAACATATATTCATAGAGCAATTTTATGGTGTAGGAGAAAAAATACAAAATTAGAGTAAGAAAAAATAGACTCTTAAAAAGTCTTACCGTGTTTGATCAACTTGCAAAAGTCTGACCAGATTTCTCCTTATCCCTGAAACAATTAAAAGAAACAGCACAAGATATATGAAACAACAGTTTTCAAAACATTGGGCAACAGACAATAAAGGACGGTGATTGCTGAGATATATGGAACAAAGAAGGCAAGCCCTATAATTTCCCTAGCTTACTGTGTGCAGAGTTTCCAAGCCATAGTGCAAGGAAGAGAAGAGTTCAGGATAAGACAACCGTAGGAGATAGAGCAGGGAGGTCAAGGAAATTAGTATTTACAAGATGGAATACCTGAATGGGAAGAGCTGCACATAGAGTGAATTTTGGAGATCTGCACAGGGTCTCCCTCTAGTCTTGAGATGAGTATTCATTTGTACATGCATATAAGGAAACTACCTGAGGCTAGGGAAAGAACCATCTGAAAATTTAGAAGTCACAATCCCCGGGACCAAGAATAATTTCTACTTTCACATGCCAGAATGAAAAACCTCATAATTCATGGGACATCAGATAGAGTATTTAGAAGAGTTTTATATTGGTAGTGGACAAAATTATTCCCAGATTATAAATGCTGCTCTGGTCCTGCCTAATGAAGCTTAAAAACAAGGCCTGAAATAATCAACTGTTTTCAAGTAACTGTCTCAGAACAAAGCTGAAAAATGTACAAATACAAAAATATCCAATACCTAACAGAATAAAATATTCAATGTCTGGTATCCAGTTAAAACTTAATAGGCATGCAAAAAAGCAAGAAAGTACAATTTATAATAAGGAGAAAAGTGAAAACAAAAGAGAAATGACACAGATGATAGGATTAGTAGATAACATAAGTTTTTATTATAGCTATATTCAGCTAGAAGAAAGATTGAACATGTTAAATGGAGACATAGAGAATATAGGTATAAACACAAATTGAACTTCTAGGGATGAAAACTACAGCGTCTGCAATTAAAGTCAATTAGACACTGAAAAGAAAAGATTAGTGAACTTAAAGACATAGCATTTTAAATTACCAAAAATGAAACACTGAAAATAAATTGAGGGGAAAAAAGATAATTGCATCAGTGAGCCGTAGGATAACTTAAAGTGCTGTAATATGTGATTGGACTCCTTGAAGGGAGAAGGGGTGGTACAAAAAAAACATTTGAAGGAATAAGGGATGAAAAATTTCCAAAAATAATGAAAAGTATGTACTTATAATTCTAGAGTGCATGGCAGACTTCAAGTTTAAAAATCCTGAAGAAGGCTGGGCGCGGTGGCTCACGCCTGTAATCCTAGCACTCTGGGAGGCCGAGGCGGGCGGATTGTTTGAGCTCAGGAGTTCGAAACCAGCCTG